TCACCTAAAATTTTTAATTTATGTATTGCTGAATGATAAACATAGGCTAGAAAATTAAATCGGTTATTTCAATGATTTTTCTTGGTCTATTTTTTACGGGCCCACCAGCGGAGAGTGCTAAAGTGGCTGAACACTGGTAGTTTTCTCGGGTTCGAATCACAGCGAGAATCACAGGCTCCATGGGCGCTTTCATAGTTTTTGTCGTAACGTCGGTATAAGCCAGCTTTACTGAGCAAGTCCTTGATGAAGGCATTCCTCCCCTTATACAGATAGCTGTTGAGTGCTTCGGTGTAATCCAGTGAACAAACCAAATAAGGCCAATCAAATCCCAGAGAACAGGTTGGTTACATATGGATTTTTCCATTTTATTTACTTAAAATCACAAAAGGATGAGAGAAAGTTGCATGCGTACTAGTAGAAATTCGAACGGAGTTAACATTACTGAACAGTTTTATGACCTCGGCAGCAAGAAAGGCCAAAGTAACATCTTATTAGATTTAAGCCTCAAGTGTAAAGCAGGCCCTAAAAAAGTAGTTTTGCCCACTTCGTAAAAAGAGCTTTAGAAACATTAAATCTCGAACAGAGTGCAAGATCGCTGCAATTTGAAACATAATTTTAAAATATATGCATCTTTAGCGAATGTTATTTGCCAAGTGAAAAACCTTTTTATTTATTTTATGGAGTTTATTATAACAAAGAAAGGCTTATTGTTTAGTCGAGGTTGACAAAGCAAGCTAAGATTAATTTTTAGAGTCATTTGGTTATTTAGATACTGGAGACGTGAAAAATGAGCAATGCCCTCCTCGGGGCTCGAACCCGGACCTCTCGAAATGTGCGCCAATTGTGCTAACCATTACACCGCGAAGGCATGCTGGAAGGAGGGAGAAAATACCTTATATACTTGCCCTTTTAAAGGGCGACAGGGGATTAGGAGATCCAATAGCTAAATCGTGGTGGTGAGGAATCACCATCCATCACCTTTTAGTTCGTGCACCACTATAGAGTCATTAGGTTATTTTTTGAAGCAGAAGAGATGAAAAAATGTGCAATGCCGTCGTCGGGACAGGAATCTGGATCTCTCAAAATACTCGCCAAATCTGCTAACCGTTACACTACGAAGGCATGCAGAAAGGAGGAAGAAAATATCTTATAAGTTGCCTCAAAATATGAATGCCTTCGTGGAGGAATCCACCAGATGAAGAGCAGTAAAATCACTAAACACTGGTAGTTCAACCTGGATTAAAATCCAGACGAACATGAGAGATTTCGTGGCTTTCTTAATGTATAATTTGAATGCGAGAAAGTTTCCCTTAGAAAGTTTTCCACGATAAAATCTCTACCCATAGAGAGATAGCCCTTGAGTTGCTTTTCTGAATTAATTAATGTAACCTTAGTCACATTTGGAGAGAAAGCGATTTATAATCACATTACACATGGGGGGAATCCTATGGAGCCTGTTTATTCCCTTGTATTGAACCTATATTGAACTACCTGTTACCGAAATTGTCAATAGTTTTATCTACATAACAACTGAGTGTAGTGATGTAACTAAATCCCATATTTATTGGCTTAAGGGTAGAAGCTTAAATGTCAGACGGATTATTTAATTAAGTATACTAGTACTATTTGCTGAAAAGTGATGTTTCGTGAAAGACTGACAGAACTGGCTCACGTTCACGTTTTTAACGGGAAAACTACGAAAAAGATGATACAGATAGCTCATTCACCGGTATCTAAACCAAGTTGTTTTCACATGAAAAATTCAGAGTTATATATTCAATGTTTCGTTCGTTGTGATCATCTGAGTGTAGTTTTTTTTCAATTTTAAATTTTTGGCCCTTATAAAAAGGCCTTTAATAGAGACATGCTCTATTAAATTCTGATTTTGCTTTCTGATGTAAGATCAGTAATTTTTTGTTTTGTTTTTGCTATTATAGGAAGGTGCTTTGATTTAATTAACTATTGCTTTTTTTTTTTTTTTTTTTTTTTTTTTTGAGTTAACTGTTTTTCTGAAATGACGTGTGATAAGCTTCAAAACAGTTTATGCAGAGTGCTACATCATATGCTGTACGTATGACAGTTGATCTCCGCTGTAAACCTTTTGCAGAACAAACAGCACATCTTCGTCTTTTCTTTGTATCAAAAGGGAAATGGGAGCATAGATACTTGCATTGTTTTTTTTTTCGACTTGATGAAGATGGCGTATGAGCTTGAAGATCAGAATAATGAATCAGCTCTCTAATCAAATTCATGCGAAAAACTTTGTGATTCTTTACGATATTGCTTATTTTGCTTAGAATGTACGTGTTTAGCACTGTTAGGTCAAGTAGATGAAAAAATAGTTTTTTCGTCCACTCCAAGTTCTTCTGCCAAAAGTATAACTTTTGGCCATGCGATTGCTTAAATCAACATAGCTCATATTTTTGTTGTAACATGTTATGATCTCGGGCTTTGTCTGCTCATTGGCTATAACCATTAAATTGTGCATATTTGACAGCATGAAAACGTCACGCTTGTTTTTCCAGCGTAGAGCTGTCATCCCATTTGTGAAATGCACAGTGGTTTCTCCTCTATTCAATTTTCCTTTGCTTACATCTTTTGAGAAATGCTTCCTATTTGGACGAATAGTTCTACATGAATTTATTTTATTTTCATTTAATAAATAAACGAAAAGTTCTGGCAAGGAAAAGAAATTGTCCATATATAATTTATGGCCCTTTTTCTCTAATAGTGCCACTCATTTCTTTAACGACATTATAAGACGCTGAGAAGTTGGGATCCTTAGATTTATCTTTCCCAAGGTAAACTTCCATATCATAGGTGTACCCTTCCTTATCAGCGATCCGTATAATTTTATACCCCACTGCTTGCGTTTCTTTGGGATATACTGTCTAAATATTACTCGCTCTTTAAATTTGACAATAATTTCGTCTATCGAGGGTTCTTCTGCGGGGCCGTAAATCTGTTTATAAGCTGTTTTTAAATGATCATAAACTTTTCGAAATTTCCACAGTCTGTCATAATTCATAATTTTATCGGGTTTTTCTTTATTGTTTTCAAAATGCAAAAATTTTTAAATCATTAAAAATCTGTCTCTTGACATTACCTTACGAAAAATTGGTGTGTCAATTAAATCATCCGTGGACCAATAATCTCGAATGCTGCCCTTTTCAACATGTCCCATGAATAAGACTAATCCAAAAAATTTCTGAAGCTCATCAGATGTAATTGGCGTCCAGTCGGTTTCATGCTTTCTTTTTCCGCTTATATCTGGCCGCAACTCTAAGATTTGAGAAGCATATTGATTAGTTTCTATGGTTAACATTTTAAACAATTCATCTGAAAAGTATAACTTAAAAAAATCAACAGCAAGATGAATTCCTGAAAATTCAGTTTTTATGCCAGGTTTACCAGTAAAGGTCAATATGTTTGCTTTGTCATGCTCACTTGGCTGTCTCCATTCAAATAAATTATTAGTGTTGCTTTTGAAGTTATCGGCAACTTTATCTTCATTAAAAGATTGATTAAAACATATTTCTTCTGTATCTGAACAGTCCGAATTGGTATCAGAAAAAGTTTCCTCTTCTAAATCTCTTAGCAACTTATTAATTTTGTCCTGACTGAGACCTTTGAAACGAGGTGCCATTATAAGAAGTGAATAAGAGTGCGATTTACACAGAAATCACGAGAAAAAGCTCTAATGATTGAAAGAGAGATAGCATCTGTTTTATTCTCAAGCACATTGGTGCGAGACGAAACATACAGTCTTCGTCAAAACCTTGCCAAAGAGATAAGAAGTGGGAAACATTAAATAGCCAGAGGCTGCTCTTAAGAGAAAACAGACCACCCAGAGAATCTAAAGATAGGCAATTACTGTAAAAGGGGGAACAGACAGCTTGCTACAGCAGTTGTACCATAGCCGGCTTAAGAGCAAGTAAATTTTGCGGTACTACAGTTGTACTGCTGGCTTAAGAAAGTTAACTTTTTCTGTCTGCTTCAGAAGTAGTTCATCATTGCTTATATTATACTAAACTAAAATTTGATCGATAAAAAAATCTAAGGCCCATGTATACTTATGATTTTTTCCTTATAGAATTGAGCTGGTTTAGAAGTGAAGATACTTGCCATCCCCTCATTCACCTTGCCTTAATTGATAAAGTGATCCGAAAATGCAAATTTATTAGTATGAGATTGGGACTAAGCAATGAGTAAGGAAAACATTTTCAGCCAAACTTTATATAATGTGTGACATTTGAGCAGAAGTTGCTCATACCTTATGAGGTATGTATTCTCTTGCAAAAATTGAAGAGAATTATTCCATATGCACCTCTCAAGAATTTTGTCAGTAAGGATCTGCTATTGCTAATGATACAGTTTGGAGATGATGCTGGTGTTTAATGGGAGCAGCTGTTAGGGTTATGCAATGTGAATCTGTCCAAAACACATTTTCGCATGTGAATTCTTATTTATGGTGATTTCTAGGATGTTTGTTTCTTCATCCAAGTTAATGCGAGCTTCATGTTGGTTTAGAGGCTCCAGCCTTCATTTGCTCTGGTAATGGTCACTGCATATCATTGCAGAGAAGCAAAGGGTAAGGCTCTTGATATCAATTACTAGTAAGTAGATCATTCAGTTGATGAAGCTATTTCCCAAAGCAAAAGTGTAGGTCTGTCTGATAAAAATGGTGCTGTGTACTTCTAAAATCTCTACAATCTCATATATTGTTTACACATGCCATATGTCTCCTATGATGTGCAGTCAAATGCCATCCCAAAAGGTTCAGTACGTAAGCTGAATGTTGTCATTATAAAAGCACGTGAATAAAAATATTTAATCAAATATGTAAAAACTAAACATGGAACAAAAAGCCAGCAGTTATGTAATTTTATATTTTTTATTTCCTGACTGTTTTCTATTTGACTTTTTTATGTTGGTTAATATGGTTAATATGTCACATTCTTTCTTATAGATCTCGCTAAAATTTGAATTTGTTTTTTCAGTCCACTCCTTTAAACAGTGAACCGAGCAGCCCAAAATCTGTCCATTCCTCTTGTGTAGTGCCTGATCCTCCTCCAAAGCAGCTGAAACCAAAATTAAAGAAGCTAACTCATAGTAGTAATGAAAGTTTAGAATCCTCGCCATGTATGTTTACCATTCTTCCCCCAGGTTGGAGTCAAGAGTCAGACTCAAGTGGCACTGTATACTACCACAATGAAGCATCAAAGAAAAAGGTATTGATTATGAAATATATAAATGTAAACATTTATAATTTTGGCGGGGTCGGAGGGTTAGTTAAATGATGTGAATTTGTGTTTAGTTTTTCACTTCTGTAATGTATTTATAGGGGGGGGACTGAGCTTTTAAAATATTTTCAGATAAATTGCTTTTAAACTTGGAAATAAAGTATTATGCCTATATATCATATTTGTTTGATTCTGAGATGCTCCTTTTCCCCCATATATAAACATTGCTAAAAATGGGATGGACCTTAGAATTGATGGTGTTTTGCCAGATTACTGTATTCCCCCCCCCCAATTGCTGAATATTCCAAGCAGATAATTTTTTTAAATTGCTAATTCAAACTAGAATATTGTTACTTGTAATAAATCAAAGCAAATTATTAAAATGTTTTGTAGATGTGTTTGAGTACTTTTTCAGCATTTATTTTCTTGGAATCACTTTTTTGACAATATTGAAATCAAAGCAGTGCCTTAGAATTAATGGCATCTTAGAATGAAATATGAAGTGTGATTATTGTGTCAATTGATCCAGACTGTGTGTAAGTGTGGCTGCAAATTGCTAGAAAATGGGGAAACTACCTATTTAGCATCAGAATGCTGATACAGAATGTTCACTTACAGCCAGACCTGTTACAAATGCCAGATTTTAGGAATTATTGTACATCTTTTGTGCTAAATTCGGGTCAGGTTAATTTCTTTTCTTTGTGTTCAAAATTTAAGCCAAACTATGCTACTGATGGATTTTTGTAGTGGAATAAACTCATGCAGTGGAAATGACAACTGACTGCCGTACTATTCTGCATCTATTCTCCTTCCCTCCTCTTTAGAACCTTTTTTTTTTTTTTTTTTTTTTTTTTTTTTTTTTTTTTTTTTTTTTTTTTTCCCCATTTTAGCACAGAATATTAGACCAACTATAGTATATGAAGAGAAACATGCCTCAAATAAATCATAAGAGTGCTGAAACAGCCTGTGTTAGGCATAGATTTTTAGCACAGAAACGCTAATGATTTTGACATCGCACAAAGTCCCTCTTCATCAGGAGCAAAGAAATCTGCAACTGGAAAACTAAATTATGAACACATTTATACCCTAAGAAAGTCGAGAGAGTAATGCCATCTGTTAAATATTTTCAGTTGCAGATTTCTTTGCTCCTGATGTAGAGGGATTTTGTTCGCTTTCAAAATCGATATTTTCTATGCTAAAAAATCTTTGCCTAACACAGTTTGTTGCTTCACTTTTATGATTTATAGTACACGTTCTGTTTTTTTAGGAGGAATCTTCTTCCAGAAAGCTGTTCTTGCTATTGATGTGTGGTAATAAATATCATAATTAACATCATATCATTCATTGTAAAGAAAGATTTGTTTGTCAAAACAGCCAAACTAGAACACAGAAATGAAAATAACTTTAGGAATATTAGTATTACTAGTCTATGTGCATTATCTTATTTCGTGTTTTAAATGCAATTTTCCCCCCACATTGCTTTGATGGTTTTAGTATGTTCAGTCAAGTTACTTATGAATTACGGATTGCATTTCTATTTATTTATTTACTGCATGTTGTATTATGATACTTTATAGACATCTCAGTTTTTATGAGAAACGGTGGTAGTTTTAATATTTATTTCTGCGCATCAGTAACAGGAATAACTGTCAATTGACCAATAAGTAGACTTTGTTTTTAAATACTCCTTTAACATATAAACTTTTTACATGTTCACTGCCCCCATAAGAAGTTAAAGTAATCATTGAGGTGCCAACTTAAAGACTAACTTATTTGTATTGTTTGTAAAGGCATTGGTTGTAAGTGCACTATATATAATTGGGAATGAGTTCACAAAAGTATGGTGAGGCTCATAGCACTATGGTATTTCGATATAAGCTCTATGCCATTAGCATCACTGTTGAGCTCATCGAAAAGTAGATCTGATTTACAGTGTTCAGTGTCATTCCATAAAACATGTAAGATACAGTACTGTATCTTACATGTTTTATGGTAACCTAAGTCTGTAATCCAGACTCATCGGGATTTCGGCGATTCTGGATTAGGATTTTTTCTGGATTATAGATAATCAATTTAAATCTGGTAAGATGGCATGCAGAAATTATACAATTAAAAATATGAAACTGTAATTTATGAAATAAAGAGCAATTATAATCTAAAGAGTATCAAATTTTACAAAAAAAAAAAAGCTTAATATTTATTTGTTTACTTTATTAAACATTTCTTTCAATGCGCGCATGCGTAAAGCATACCGTAATGTATGCGCAGTCTTTATGCGCATGTGTAAAGTTTGTGGCTTTGAGGTTCAGATTATAGATCATTCCGGATAATGGATGTCCGGATTACAGACTTTGTACTGTATAAAAAAATATTACATTAGCTGCACTTTGTCATCATCTTTTTCATTGTCTTTTGATCTACTGCCCTACCACTCTTTAGTTTACGTTTTTCATAGCAACGCACTCCAGCTTCTTTTCTTTCTGTTATTGTTGGCCTTCTACCCAGTCTCTACTAGCATGTCTTATTCGGATCCAGTGCCTCAACTGTTTTGTTTAATCCAGGCATTTCCAAAACTATCGATTCTCAGAATTATTTTATAAATATCTTTTCATTTTTCAGAGTTTTACACAGAATAATTGAATTCAACACAGAATAATTTACACTGCTGGCCATTAAAATTTCAACACCATGAAGAAAAGCAATTACAGAAAACAGGCATGAAAGTTTTCGCGGAATTCCGCTTTTTGAACGACACCCGTGCTGTTTCTGAGATCGATGCAGAACTGTTGAGAAATCGCGACCGGCAAATCTGTGTGTGTGTGTGTGGGGGGGGGTAAATGGAGGACATGCTCTCTCTCTCTCTTCCTCTTTTCTTTGTAAAAAAAAAAAAAAAAAAAAACTTAACATCATGCCATTGTATAATATTATGCCGGGTTAGCGATCAAACGCTAACACCCCTTGTTGTGAACTTTTCGAGTTTACCTGAGCCGAGATCGCGAAATACGTTGTTTCACATCTAGGCGAAGTAGGTGGGGCTTATGTGGAAAGGCAGAACTAGATGCATACGAATATCGAATCAAAGAAGAGCAAGCAACCATCAAACGAGATCTAACTTCAATAATTTCAGCGATCTGTGCTGGCACCATCTGTCACACATAGAGATAACCACTTCCATTCTCCAGTACACAAAACTCTACGTAAAAATTTAAGGAATGCTCATAAACTGTACAAAGAAGAGCTAGAGACAGAAAAGGAGGAGCGAGAATCTAAAAAAAAAAAAAAAAAAAGCAATTAAACATTGCAGAAAATAAAGAAGAAAATAAAAAAGTATCAATGAATTGTATAAAAGCTGCTGAAAAGAAATTGAGACTAGCTCGCAAATGGAAATTAGAAAAGTTGTCTGCAAAAGTAGCAAAAAAGAAAAACCATTTTCCCTAAAGATTTTTAATCAGGATCGAGTGAGACTGAGACAAAATAGTTATTTTTTGTATTCCTCCTTTAACTATTATGTTATTTTGTAACTATATTATCTCACATGGTTACTTTTTCTGGTGTTATATAAAGTACTGTTTATTGAGCTAAAAGTGAAGATAATTGAAAGCTATAGTAACAGTTTATATATATATATATATATATATATTTATTTCCTAAACAGTATTGATTAATTGATTATATTATCTCCTAAGTTTAATTAAAGTAGAATTATTTTAAAAGTGTGCATCCATATTGGTAAGTTAATTTGAAAGCAAAATGTTAATAATGTTTTAACGGAGACTGGAGTTAAATCATCACGAAGAATAATATTACAATAGTAAAAATTAAAACATGTAATTATTGTCATTGACCGGAAATTAGCTGACTTTTCAAGGGGAACAAACCAACTCCCGTTCAATGATCAATAATTGATAAAAATACGTAAATATGAAAGTGTTTCGTCTTTACTCGAGTTATAAGTTAAAGCCAAATCGGCAATTCTAGTCAGGCCAAATATTTCCGCGAATAGTTGTTACTCAAAGAACTTATTCTCATGTAGCATTTTAGTCAATTCAATTTGGAGTAAAAATTAATTACTGTAGAGAAATCCTGTAAAATTCGCGGAAATATTTGGCCTGACTAGAATTGCCGATTTGGCTTTAACTTATAACTCGAGTAAAGACGAAACACTTTCATATTTACGTATTTTTATCAATTATTGATCATTGAACGGGAGTTGGTTTGTTCCCCTTGAAAAGTCAGCTAATTTACGGTCAATGACAATAATTACATGTTTTAATTTTTACTATTGTAATATTATTCTTCGTGATGATTTAACTCCAGTCCCCGTTAAAACATTATTAACATTTTGCTTTCAAATTAACTTACCAATATGGATGCACACTTTTAAAATAATTCTACTTTAATTAAACTTAGGAGATAATATAATCAATTAATCAATACTGTTTAGGAAATAAATTATTATTAACTAACTTTGCAGCAATTGCGCAAGTAATAATAACTTGTATTCGCACTAAATGGATTTAAGTTCATACAACATATATATATATATATATATATATATATATATATATATATTTATCTCTAAAACTTGTCATTGCTTGAAAATGAGCAGTAATATATAACATAAATATGTATATTAGTGTGTTGTAATGTTGTGTACACTATTCATGTATCAACTGTTAAATTAAGTTACATAAAGAGCATCTTAAAGAAGGTTAATTCATTACAATCTCTTGGTGATTTATTGATTTTTTTTTCTTTTTTTTACAAGTGGAAGATAAAATTAATAGCAAAATAGTAAGTACAAATATTATTTTAGTTTAATTATATGTATTTGTTTAATACTTTTTATATTAAAAGGTTGATATTTTATAAAAATGTGTTTTTTTTAGGTCGCGCGTGCGCAATTAGTTTTTGTGCCCGCGTGTTGTTCAGCTTTTTTTTTCCAACTTGCACTTTCATGCCTGAGAAAATGATATTTGTTGTACTTA